TTTACAGTGGCTCTAATTTGTATTCTTAACATCGCTGAATTAAAGCGTCAGTCCTGCTATTTATTTACCCAAAAGTATCTTTAATTGTCAAAATATGAGTTTCAGTTCTTTATATACTGATCTAGGTTTAATTGATCAATTGGCTTTAGCTTTATTTGCTAATTTTCTTTGAATCGTGCTTTCACATTTATCGATCCAGTGTTATTTGAGATGACTAATCAGCTTGTTCAAAACTTTATCAATGAGTGTCTATTAAATCAGCTTTCTGGAGGAAATTCAAAAGCAGGAAGAGCGATTAAGTGTCATAATCATTTGATCCATTTTTTTATTTAAGACTATTATGGATTAGTGCGCATTTAAAGTTAATCCCCATTCCATTTTTGGAGAAAAAAAAACACAGTATCAAAAAATTAAAGTCAAACTATTTTGCAAAGCAGGGTCAAACTATCTCTTTATGCATATGTTCCCATTCTCAAGGCTAAAACTAGTCCTCAAAATGACAGATGCATTCGTGCAAACAGGAGATTTTCCTTAGTCACCTTTAAAGGACTGCTGGAGGCAGCATCGGGACAGTTTCTTTTTCATTGGGTACATTACAAGTTATCAAAGTGTGTCTTTTCTGATAGTGTTAAGCTCTGGTTTTGCAAGCAAAGCATGTATCAATTGATGACCTTTTCCTCATACATAGTACAATTTGCTGCAGTGTGTGGCTTTAATCAGGCATTGGCTTCAGCAGAGACGTGCTTAGCTTCCTGGCTACATATGAGAGCAGCAAAAGAGGTGAGAGGAAAGAAAGAGGAAAAGTGTAGAAGAGGTACTAAGAAGGATGGGACATGTGCTGGAAAGACAGGGTTGCATATTTAACTCCGATAGATGGATTAGTACATGCCCATTTACTTTCCTAACAATAATCTCTAAGGGAATATGGCAAAACGGAAAAATGCAGTCATTACCGGCTAGGCCTTATGCTTTCTTTTACTATCTCCTCTTTGAATGGACCTGTATCCATTATTAATGCAAATATCATCAAGAGGGCTTCAGACATATCTACAGAATGGTAGATGGGTGCTTGTGAATGTGTCAATTAGTGCCTCCTCTTTCACTTTATCTCATTCTTCCTATGAACTTGTGTGTGCTTTGAAAGTGCCTCTGAAAACTGCAGCAGGTAGTGTCTGTAAACCGGCTGTAAAGCCTTTTAGCGTTAATCTCAATGACATCTAGCATGGTATAACACCTTACAACATGTCCTATTTATCTTTTTTTGTCAAACAAGGAAGCGTTTGATCATTGAGAAGTAGGTCTTTCTGAATAAATGGAAAATGAGCTCAAACAGGGAAAAAGAATAAACACCAATTTTTTTATTTTGGATTTTCACATCAGAATAAGTGCAGGTCAGGACATCAGAAATGTTTGTGCTTTTTAATTTTCCACCATAAAAGACTGCTCACCAGTGGTGGCCATTTGCTTTTAGACTGAATGCCATCTGTCCACGTTGCCCTTTAAAACTATTGACTGGGAATCCCAATGAGTGCAACACTGCCAAAAAAAGAAAGTATGTCCTGATGCACCGAGAGAAGAGATGATCACCTCTGTCCACAGCAGCAGAGAAGCTGTCCCAGGGTCATGAGCTGAAAGGCAGGTGCAGAGAACACAAGGAAATGACACTGAAGGATGTTTGTGGAAAAATACCAACAATTCACTCACAAGGTCACTGCTGTGCTAGAAAGATTTCTGTTATAGTTTTTGGGATGTTCTTAAGTTAAGCTGTGCAATGCAGGACAAAAAACTTCCACAAGGGTGGAGTTACCAAATGTCAGCTTTTCTGAATGTCAGTGTTTGCTTTGGTATTTAATATTAGGAGACAAAGAGAGGGCTTTGGGTCATATGATCTGAAATCACTCATTCTTCTTAAGAGAATAGTTTGCGCATGAGCTAAAATGACAAAAGTCATAAGAGGAATGATGAAGAATAGAGATAGGGTCACAAAAGATAAGAAAGGTAAGGCTGGGGAACAGGGGAAATGCGTTTTCTCACACATTCGCTACATTTGTATTTTCCATAACATAAGAAGCTATTGTTTTATAGCAATCATTTTGCCGGCTACAGATGAATAAGAGATAAGGTATCTGAAGCCTCGTAATGCAGAAGGAAGTGATAAGAACGAGCAGTTGCTATTTCACATTTAACAGGAATCTGAGGAAGAACTCATACTTTTGAGAAGAACATAGAAAAGAGTCCAAAAGGAGCAGATAAGATCTCAATTAGCTGCTTTTAAGTTGAGGACGATAAAGGTTTTTCTTTCCTTCTTCTCTTCCCTCGTGAGAAAGCATTTTCTAAGACAGACACTCATCTGATTTAAGTCATATTGTTTGTCATGAGCATCAAGTGATGGGAATAAGAATCTATATAAAAACCCATTAGTTTTCTATTACTGCCAAGTTAGATGGACAGGCACTCAGTGTTCACCAGAATGACTGTGTTTAAAGTGTCAGGTTGGTTGAAAGAAGTCTACCTCTGTGGGGGCTCCTCTGCCACTTCCCCGGGGGCTGAGTGGCTAAAATGACCATAAAACTCTGTTGAGCTAGACAGCCTGTAATTTCAACAGTGAGAGGCGCTTTGCAGAGATATAATGGAAAGTCCATAGAAGCCATGAAATTTGCTGCATGCTGGTGTTGGAACACCATTGTCTGAACACTCAGGACAGCTCTCTAAACTTTAAATTACTGTTTTTAAGCCATCATTGTCTGAAAAAGCTCCAGTACTAAAAGAAACTTGCGTCTGTTCTGTTTCTTTAAATCCTCTGTGGTCGGTTCTATTCCAACAAAAATCTCAACCTTCACATTCCCTGTTCCCACCGGAAAGATGACAATTGAAAAAATGCTTCCAAATGTTGCGTTGTTAGGGCTCAACAGAATTGGTCTCACCTCTTCTGCTTCTTTTTCATCATCTGATGCACGATTGGAGATACAAGCACCTGTTTTTCATTCTGAATGGAAATGAAAAAAGGATATTGCATACGTTGAGAAGGACAGTTTTGCTTTTGAGCAAAATCCTATATTCCTCTATTTTCTTATATCCTTTCTGTGTGTTTATTTTGCGTACATGTGATGTGAACATGAGTATATTCGCATATTAATGCAATAGCAGAAGTATATTTTCAGTTTTCTGAATTGAGGTTTTACATTTGGTGTTAGCAAGTTGTGCCAAGAGGGTCCAAATGATCTGTGTGAAGGGTGAGTGGGGTGGCGTAATGAGGTATATCTGAGTGGAGTTTACTGCTGGAGGTCCAAGCTCATCACAGCACACTGGCTGCATTTCTGCCATAGTCAATAAAATAGGAAGAAAAACACCAGGCATGGTGTATTCGCCTTTAGCCAAATGCTTGTGTTCTGACCTGCATACTTAGAATGCAGTAAAGCAGACAAACTGAAACTGGAGCTTCTCTCTGACAGCTGTACAAAGGGTGTGTTTTTCTTTAAAGGGTTCCTACGTGATCATGATTTTTTTTTTTTTGCTGAAAAACATGCAAGTTAAGATTTGATATCATTACAATTCATCACATTGAATCCAATTACTTTAAAAGTTCATGAAAAAGGTGTAAAATGATGAATAAGTTATCCAACAGTGCCACTGTGATGTCATGCATTATTAAAGACAAGGCAATATGCAAATTCATGTGACATTAGTATTCCACTTTTTTAATGTGTGATGCCTTAGTTTGCACCATCAGCACTTTTTAGTTGTCTTTTTTTACATATGAGCCCTTTGACTACTGCGATGTTGATCCCTCAGATATTCTTATGTATAATCCATCCATCCACCCATTAGCGTAACGGCTTATTCCCTAATGGGGTCGCGGGGGGACTGGTGCCTATGCCAGTGGTCAATGGGCGACAGGCGGGGTACACCCTGGACAGTCCACCAGTCCATCGCAGGCCCACACAGAGACCAACCATGCACAGTCACTCCTAAGGGCAATTTGGAATGTCTTATGTGTGATGAATTTAGTAAATAAGTACAGAATAACGCATCTTTGCAAAATAATAAGTTTTGTTAGCGAATCAATTAAGCACATAGAAATGCATCCTGAAGCTCACAATTATATAACGTAAGTTTGTTTTTAAAGCATCTTATGAGCTTCCTGTTACATGTGGGATATGGTACAACTTGTTATCTAAAGGTCATATTTATTTCTCTTCACTAGAATGTACATTAACAGATGGATGCATTTAAACAATGTAAGAAAATTAAGATTTTGGCAGTTCGACCGTCATTTTTTAAAATGGCTCTTATGAAAAACAATATTATATATAATATATAAAGCATATTCCAAATAAACCCTCTGTGTTTGCATGCAGGTGCGTGCTTGTTCGTGTTCGCTCACAACAAAAAAGCCTGCGGTACATAACTGTCCCTTTGAACTGTAGACTGGAAATAACGATCTGACCAGGTTAGGGTGAATGACTCATGACAGAGAAAGCACAGAAAAAGCTAAATATGTGCAGTGATTCTCTTAGTGGGCAGCTGTGATGTGACCAGCACAGACAGGGCAACGTTCCTCCAAATAAACCTACTTAAGTGGATTAACAATGTCATCGAAGATTTCCCTAAGATTTTAAGATTCTATCACAGATAGAATCCTTTTAAAAAAAACTTATATTTTTATTAGTTCCCTTGGTTTGTGTTAAGAGTTCATTTTGGGAGGCTGAAACTCTGTTATTTACATAGAAATTCACCAGCACTGGGGTTATGTGCCATGCTAAGAAAATATAAAATAGCTTGTTAGCAGTGAGGCGTAAGTGAGAATTGGTTGTTATTTAGAATACCTGTTGAAACAGCCTTTTAGCACTTTCCAAAGTTTGATCCTGACCAGAAATGGTCGCTGCCCTTTACTGCTAATAATGCCAAAAATGTTACCTGCTTTGAAATGTTTTCATGCATGTATTTATGTGTACGTGTAACTAAGTCTCTCACCATTTCTGTTATTTTATAGGTCCAGGTTGGCGGATTACAAGGCAAACTGCTGGATGACTCCACACACAATGAGCATCTGTCCCAATCAGGACAATCACCAAGCCTGTTTGGCTTCTTATGCAAGACTTATTGGTCAGTGCATTACTATGGTCTGTTTATTAGTGTATAGGAGAAAGGTTTGGCTGTAACTATATGGATTCATTATAAAATACGTTTTTTAGAATAACGAATTCTCTCTAGAAATTTAGATATGTGGTGAGATCAAAAGGGATGCTTGCTTAGAGAAAGAGGCAGTGTGACAGCAGTTTGGTTACATTTTATTATAAAAAGCAGGCGAAGGAATTATAGTCCATTTTTCCCGTCTGGTCTGATATCTCCACAAGCACAGTGGACATTAGTTCTGTACCAGAAGTAAATTAGGGAATAGAGGCACTGAGAGAGTGTTTACTTAATTAAAACACTTGACGACCATCTGTTTGCTCATAATAAATGTTGTGCAAACAATGTGCACAGACTTCTGCATGCATCATTTTCAATCCCAGCCTGCAGCACCTAGGTGACGTTGTAGAGGGTTAAAAAGATTTGTAAATACAAATCAGACAAAACATTTAGTTATTCCGTTTATTTATTTATTTATTTATTTATTTATTTATTTATTTATTTATTTATTTATTTATTTATTTATTTATTTGATTTATTTGCAGCCAATCGTTTGCAGAAGTACTTTTCTATTTCCGTGTGTGTTGTTAATCATGCACCCTGATGTGATTAAATGTCATCATACTTCCTGGATTTATCTGGAAAACGCTACATAGAGCACACCTAACGCTCCTGACTTCTGCTAATAGCACTGACTCACAGATGGATATTTGAAAAGTTAAATGTGTTTGTTACAGTGGTGCTGTGTTCAAACAGAGAAAGCAACCACCTTGCAAAACATTTAGAACATAATGGCCTCTTTACATATAAATAAAGCATTGCAGAATGGTTCCTGTAAACTCAGATAGTGCTAATCCATTCCAGTGACTAACATTTCGTTGCTTATTTTACATACTGCTTGTAATAAATGTAGCCCATTACTGTCCATTAGTGACCTATTGCTGTGTATCTTAATGCATATATCTTTGTGTTTTATGTGTGGATGTCCTTACAGGGACAGAAATTACTCCCAACTATGTTGACAGCAGCCACACCAATTGGACCATTTCCCCATGGTGCACCTGCAAGGGCAGCGGAAACCAAGAGGAGGAATGTGGGAACTTCCTGCGGTACTTCACCAATAACACATGCCTAAGTGAGCCAACCTCACACCAACACACTGCTTACATCTTAAAGGTGTCTCAAAATTGATTGAGATCCAACAGCCATGTTATATTGATGAGAGCAACAGCGTATGAGGCAGTAGTTACTCTTGCTAACATGCAAGAGTAGCATGCGCCATGGATTTTAGTCTAATAAGTCTTTAAAGCTTAAATGTCAAATTCCGCTTTTCTGTCTCGTTGAGCTCGTCAGCAACACGTTTGTGGAGGTCTTTAATGAGAAATAGAAAAGAGATGCAGCATGCAGCGGAGAGTGTGTGTAAAAGATATCAGCTCAGTGTATTCAGAGGAAATATGAAGAACATGGTTATTTATTTATTTTGGGTTTTACCTAGAGAGAAATTTTTATACATATAAATACACATTTATTTTGTATTTCACTCTTATCCCCCCTGTGGGGGAGACCCAGACATTAACGCAGAATAAATTTGGATGCCATATTCACACTTAGTCTAAAAGGGCTTATCTTTTATGGTGGAAGAAAGTACTAGAAAGGGAACAGATAGCCAGAAACAGAATAACTGGAATGGCTGGAGTAAGATACAAATCATTAGAAAATCAAACATGGAACACACATGGTGTGAGGGGCCTTTTTCAAATATTCTCATGGAATTTTTCACCCTAAAGTAAAGCTCCCTCCTCATTATGGCACAGTGAGCAGTGTCATCAGCCCTACAAGACACCATTGCCTTTAACATGTCCCATTGTGTGGATAATGCTTTCAGACCATTTCAATAGATTGCTGGGTTACCGTTTTAGCTGAGTGTGCAGTATGAAGGATGAGACTGGGAGCTGAGAAGGCGTCTTGAAAAATAACACAAAATGCAGCATCTCTGCTCTGCAGTCAAGGGGAAAAGGCGATAAACTTCCACTTCCACAGGGGAGAGGACATACATAAAGCACCAACTCACTGCAATACAACGCACATTCAACTCTTTATGACATCTGATGGATGTTGACTGGCTTCAGATACCTGAGAAAATCTTCTTTTTCAGGAATTTAGAGGTCCGACCACAACGAATCAGTTTTTCATATGAATACCCTAAAACAAATTTGTCTTTCATTTCCAAGGACAATGTCTTAATCAGATATTGTCATTTGTGTAAACACAGCAACTAACCTGCTGGATTTATTTTACTTTGTGAACATTGAAACAATTGAATTAATTTTTTATATTTTTTTAGCAATGACCAACATATATGTTAGCTTGATAACTCCTTGTTACTGAACTGTCCAAGCATGTCTTCTTTGTACTTAAAGTCTCATGGAATTTTCCCCCCTATGTCTTTTAATGTTTTAGTCTAATTAGATTATTTGTATTTTCTGTATCTATATAGCTCTGACCTCTTTATCTAGGACAGCTGTGTAATCTAATGCAACATCTCAAATTTAACTGGACTTTGGCTGCTTTAGATTAAGATTTCCCCCATTTACATTATCAATTTGATCAGGCCACTCATCTAACAGAAATATAATTGCTTTCTAGATAACTAGAACATTTGAAAAGAGTAAACAATTTCACTCTGAATTAAGACAGGAAATTCAGATTTTACACATTAATTTTTAAAATCATACTAATCCAATAGTTGCTCATTTCTTCCAACTTTTAATAAATAAACCAAAGCAATGCAGATATGAGCAAGTGAAAACTATGTTGGAAATGTTTTTGACCATCTTGAGTCTGCTCTCGATGTTCCATTATCGTTTTCTGGCAAGAAATCTTTTAAAATTTATATTTGACTAAAAATAGCAGGGAGGCCAATCTAAAACAATCTAACTAAATGTTAAGAAACGATGGTCAAAGAACATGAATCCCGATTCTCTCCCAGAATATATTTTCCTGCTGTTTCCTCCCTCTTTGTCTCCTGCTTTATTGGCCCCTGCAGGTAGGACAATGAAGGCAATGCCCAGGGGTTAAAGGCAAATCTGTCCAAAGTCATTAAAAAAATCAAGCTCTATTGGGAATTAGCTTAATCACTCAGTGGAACATTTGGGCACAGTCAAATATCCTGGGTGGAAACCCTGCAGCCAACTAGTTTGATTTATGACTATATCTTAAAGAATCTGTGGAGAAATAGGTTGCTTTAGCCAACTCTGACAAACAGATGTGTAGCATCAGCCCACCAGCTTTCTGTGGCTGGTATTGGAGTTCTCAGGCTCCACTGAAAAGCCTTTTTATTTCAGAGTGTACCAAATTAAGAACGTGATGACAGCTTTTATGTGTTACATTGGTGAGTACCTTTTTCCGGGTTTTTCGGTGCCTTATATAATAGTCTGTGTGGGTGGACAGAGGATGTGACTTGGCCTGTGAGGTGATTGGATTATGCATGTGCATTCCACAACTATCTAGTGTTGTCCTTTGTGCGATGGTGGGGAAATGCCATTTCTCCTTTGTTTAGGAATGTTTCGAATTTGATCTGTCGCATAAATCTATTCAAAGTCATCTCTGCACGCTGACCTTATAATGGAGGTTGTTGCCAAGCAATTACATGCCTTGCCTTCCCTCTGACTGAACAAAGAGAAACAAGCCTTGTGTTTTACATGGATGAGCAATGAAAAGGTACTCAGCCCCTATTTTGCCACATCTAGCTGAAAAGCTGACTGAACAGGGATTTATCACTTTTTTGCAGACTTGCACATACACTTACAGAATAACACAGATACATACAGTAAATCTGCAGGCGCAGATACACAAAACCACCCATCTGAATTCACTTTGAGCAGTCTGCTGTCCTCTGTTTGAACTGATTCATTCCTTACGTTTGAGAGACTCTAATGGTATTATTTCCCGGCGCACAAATTTGGACTCTTTGTATGAGGTGTGGGCATTTTATCCACACCTTGCTGCAGTTTGAGACCGGCTGTTGCAAAAATAACAATGTTTTTGTAACTACTTGTTTGCATTTAATAAAGGTGGCCATTGTGTCTCAGCTAAAGGATAATTTCTTGTTAAATTAACAAGACAGAGATGCAAGGAAGAGATGAAATAAAACATGTCTTAGAGAATTGAGTTTGAAAGGGTGTTGGTACTCTGGAAGACAGTGAAACTTTAAGCAATCTCCCTGCTGACAAATCTCTGATTGCTTTTTGTGATTAGTTTTGCAAAAAAATTCTCAAGTGTAGAGACAAAGCAAAAAAGACTGGCTCTCTGCTCTCTTTTTACTCATTGCTTTTTCAGCCTCCTCCTCTGGCCTCCCTCTTTCGCCGGGCTGCCAAAGATTGGGCAGGGGACCAAGAAGTTGACTTAGAGCTGTCTGTCTTCTCGCTGGCGTCTTACTGGGACGGAAGTCAGCAACAAATGTCTTTATTCTCTGTCCCTGCAGGAAATGCCATTCAGGCCTTTGGTTATGGGATGTACAACACACAGAACAAAACTGCGACTATCCCAAGCCCCTCAGCGACATCGAAAACGGAGTCCGATTGGCCGAGCATCTCAGACCAGCCCTCCGTCACCATCCCAAAGGTAACGGTCTGTTTCAATGTGTGGGGTATCACCAATGCTGAATGTATATGTGGTCATTTTTAATTACTTAGTTGTAAATCAGATAGGCTCCAAGGAATACGAGATTAATTTCTGAGAGCATCATTTCTTATTCAACTCATTGTGTTAATTTTCTCAATTACTGCCGTTACATCCAAAATATATCCATCCATTTTTATCATTTCTTGTAATGATTTTTTTCATAATTTTTCTCAAACAAATCGATCGCAGTACAAACTACAACAACAATTTCGAAAAGAAAACAAAAACTCCTCTGCTCTGTATCCATCCAAGGCGGATTTTGTTTTTTTGTAAAATCCAGAAGCTCAGCATCCTGCACAATTCACATCACATTCTATCTCTATGCTTGTTAAACATTTGGCACGTCAAAACAGTTGCTTTATAATAAGACATAATGCTGCGCCCAAGATGATGACATGTGGTTGAAACATAACATTTCACTCTCAGACAATGGAGCAGCGAGAGGAATGAGAGCAGGGGATTTAATCTGGATTAGAGGTTCTAAAATACTGGCCCACGGCCTGTTCCGTGTTGAATGCTGTCAACTCTAAAGAGTTTGAAGTGAACTCAACTGAAACTGGGTTCACCGTCTGAAGTAGAGAACATTTTCTTTTTGCTTTGCTGTACAAACCTACATATGTTTTTATAATATAATTGTACTTAATTTGTTCCTCACATAAATGTGAAGATGACAGCAACAGATTGTCTGCTGGAGACTCTCCCACACCGTCTCCTTTGAACAGGAAAAAAACATTTCACTCTGCAATTTGAGAAAAGAAGATTTTTTTCTGTCCTTTTTTTATCCTTTTGTTGGATTTGATTAGTTCTCACAATGATATATTGTTGTATTTCACAGATGTATTTTAGATTTCCAGCGAAGCCTTGAAGTGAATGACTGATAATGCGTTTTTTTTTTACTATTGCAGGAGACCCAGTCATCCAATTTGAATGAATTGGACATATAAAACAGTGCTTTGTAAAGCATTCTGCTGCTGCTGTTATTGTCCATGTCATTTTTTTAGCGACTATTACAGATCCAAATCCAAGCAGCGTGCAGTGTTTATGGATGTTTGTCGAATGAATGACTTCCATTAAGACGTATCACATCACAGCCATTAAATGGTCACACTTCACCCGAGGCACTCACTATTGTGATTTGTACTCAAACCCTTCATTGTTTCGAAGACAGCAAATTAAAACCTTAAAAATACCACAAAGAGGAGAATTAATGAACACGCACCTCTGATAACAATAACACTGTGTATATTTAGGAAAGGTACTGAGGACAAGTAGCTGGAGAGGGCAGAATAGATTATGCTTTCTCCAAAGGTGTGTGTGTGTGTGTGTGTGTATGTGTGTGTCAGTATTGATGCACTGCTCGGTGCCTGTCTCACTGCAGCATAGTGTTTAATTTATTGTAAAAATGGTAATTAGGAAACAATAAGACGTGTGATTACTCAAGCAGGAAGTTTATAATTAGAGAGGGAGCTGGTAGGGACATTTTGGGCGGCCTGCATTCTTAGACAACTACGCCTGGCAATTAAAACTTGTCAAACTTCCACGGCAGATAAATTGGGGGAGTGTTGTTATGGTATGAGTCGTGTTGGCAGGAAAAATGGCTGTCCAAGACTGTACATCTGATGGCGACCAGCGTGGGCCCCGTAGTAACATATTCTCTGTGTGTGTTTACACATTACTACAAATGATACAAATGTGTTTTAATGAAGAGAGAAGGTGTAGGATGGATAGATGCTATCCACATGACAGGGTATAGGAGGATCTGGGACTGTTCATAAAAATTATGCAGCTCCATGATACACTTTACCACATTTTCAGCTAATTTGGAGGCATAATTGCAGGCTTTGGCATGCGCAGCGTGTAAACATGTGGGCAGCAGCTCCGTCAGTCTTGAAGATCCCTCCTTTGTGACGCTTATAGAAAGAAATGTGAATTCAGTTTGATTTACACAGTTCCTATGGCCAGCTTTTTAGCTTCACCGCAATTTGTTTATTGTTCTTCCCTTTGATCTCGTGGCAGAGAAAAGTAGCACACTGTATAATTTAGCGAATTTTATGCCTTCTTTAATGGAATAATCTTCATATCATCAATGACAAACGTCCATTTGATGCAGCTAACTGTCACACCTGATCCTTTCCAATCATCACCAGAGTTAAAAGAGCTTCTGGGTTTTTTAAGTTTGGGCCTTTCAGTCCTTGAACCCTTTATGTTAAGACCATTCATTTCTCGCCAATTAGAATTTGGTTGTTTGTGTGTTGCATGACGTAAAATATGGAAGTTAAACTAAATTTACACAAGTTGGGAGAGACAGCGGTGACATGTTTATTTGCTTTGAGATGATCCTGATTCAAGTGTCGCTGTCCTCCCAGATTTCCGAATGAGGAGTGGTTTAGATTTCTGTTACATGGATGCATTCATAGTTGGTGCAAAGCAAAATCAGGCAGAGGTTACTGCTGCGTGTCTTCTGTCATTGCTAATTTTCAGCTCAGTTGAACGGAATTGACTGTGGACAGAAGTTACATAACTCAGGGTTACTCGATAACTTGCTTCGGGAAATGCGCCCCCGTTTCACTGTAATTTGGCTGATGAGTTGATTGATAATAAAGATTGAAATCAATGCGAGGAGTTAGTTCAATGACAATGAAAATGCGATCTGTGTGCACTTTTGAGGGTTTTCAACCTCTCCCTCTCTCCGGGCGCTAAGATGAGCGCATGTTTTGACACTGGCTGTAGTCTGTCACGGTCTATGCATTTGTAAGCATGTGTTTGTGCTTTAGGCACCCATTTATGTGTGTGTGTACCTTCTCACAAGCCTGTGTGGATCTGTGGGATATTGGCTGCAGCTAGAGATCTGGACTCATGTCAACAGGCTGCTGCCACACATCACTGCCCCTGCTAATTAATTGGCTTTTAGTTGTGAATGTGTTTGGTACATTGTCAAGCTACCCAGTGCTGTTCACCCCGCGCTGCCCCTAAACACATCCCTCTTTTTTGGCAGCTGTCATTTCAGTCATTTCTTTGTGTAATGTGAATTTGCAGGCATGCTGTAACAACAGCGGCTATTTTGGATACAGCACTTTTTCTCTCATGCTCTCTCCCTTCTTCCTTTTTCCCCTCCCCAGAAAAAGAAAAATGTGCCAGTTTTGTTAGTATAATACAACACTATTTTCTTGCCTCATTATTTTTTTTTTACATTCACGCGCTATCTTGTTGTGGCGAAAGATGAGGTGCTTGTAGATAACATCCGAGTAGATGCTTTTCCCTGCCTACTGGGAAATGGACCAGTGCAATCTCTGCCGACGTTGCTTTGGTGAAGATGATGTGAGGAGCAGGTGGATGAGGAGGAAATGTTTCATGTTTCTTATGATGTGGTTCGGTTTTGCAATGCTGGACTGAAAATGGTTTCTCTGCAAATTGAGCGGGACTTCTTTAACTTGAAGGAAAATGGTTATGGTTGGTGTTACAAGAATACGAGAGAACCGAAAAAGTATTCAAATTGCTAACAGTTTTATGGAACAGCGCATAATGAAGCTCATTGTAGTATGGATATAGCAGGGAAACTCTGGTGGTCATAGAATTTTATATCTGGACTTATTCCAACTCCTTACCATCACAACAACAGCATGTTGGTAAAGAGCATACAATTTCCCAAAGCAGATAAAGTTATTCTTTCCTGCACACATTCAACTGAAACTGTTGTGTTCAGCCTCTATTCGCTGTAAGGTATGTCCGATGAGATATTGAAGCAGAGTCAACAGTTGCTGCTAGTTTCAGTAATGTGTTTGGCATCATTGCATATTTAGCTTGTATATAAAATCTGTTGAAAACTTTAAAGATTATTAAGGGCCTTCCGGTTGCACAAAAAGAGCCTACATGGAACACAAGCTCTCAGGAAGTTGGTCTTTGTGGCTAACTTGTCAATCAAGCAATGAGCACACTAAGCAGCAGAGGCTTGACACACCAATTCAAGTGGTCCATCAAACATCTAATGGAAATATGTAATTCCTTTATTCCATTTTTTGTCCTTTTTCGTGTTTTTCTTGCTCTCCTCGGTTCTGACCCTGTACTGTCCTCCACCCCCCATCATCTCCTTTTCCTTTTCAAATGCCAGAGCAGAAAAAAGACTAAGAGTCTCTGAGTCATGTCTAACCTTTACACATCTCTCTCCCTCTCTGTGTCCTTCTATCTGCTCAGTATCCTGAATCAAGAAATGGTGGCCTGGACCTGAAAGAGGATCATTCTCACTGTCTCAGTGCCAACGTCTGGGCTCTGCTTCCGAGCCTGACTTTGGCTCTGGTCCTGGCCCAGCATGCCTTGTAGAAGCGCCAGGAGGGGAGAAAAGGAGGTCATCCACCCACAAGCTTAACCCAAACGCAGAAGGTGTCTTTTCGGAAACTTACATTGAGAAGGCTGAGACTTTGGTGACAGTTAGCATTAATAGCATTTATGAAACACGAACACTGAAGGGGAAAATAGGGTGGAAGTTATTTAAATTTTACTGCTGTAAGTATGTTGTTCATTCGATGAAGTGTCTGGGCTGACCGCCACTGTGATGGAACCCGTGGCTTTACAAAGGCCTTGTGGCATGAAAGGACAGGATGGCCATTGTGTGAAAGAGACTTCTGCACTGACTGAGATATAAAACTGCAAACTGCTGCTACAAAGCATTCAGCATTTCTTCTCACTCAAGGATGGAGAGAATAAGTGAGCAACACTATTTAAAGAGTACAGGGTTTACAGAAAAGACATTGTTGCAGAGAGGAGTGGAAGGAGCATGTGGCAAATATTAAAAAGTAGGGGCAGGGGGTGAGAAAGAGACTCTTGTTTTTGTCTTCAATCTGGTCCTGACATAATCTTCTCTTTAATGAACAGAACACTAATGTACGGTGTAGAAGGGGTGATTGCATTCTGTCTCTTCAAAATTAGTGTAAACTCTAAACTGT